TGGAACAGCAACTTTGACCCTGGGGCAGGATGTACCCTGGGGCAGGATGTGAACTGGAAACCCCTCTTTCCTGGCCAGTCGACGCCCCGGAAGCCGTGAAGAAACCAGAACCAGTGGGTGGGCTCAAGAAGAGGGAAGCAAGTAGCAGCCGAGGTGGAGCCGGTGAAGAAGGCGGAGGGCAGCAGGGGCCAGGGCACCCCCGAGGGGCGGGGAAGAAGCTCCTCTCCGGGGACTAACAGCCCTTGGCACTAGGAAGCAGGGCTCTTGAGAGGTGATGGGCCTGGGTATAGCAGTGGGCCCTGCCTGGGGTCAGACGCTTCGTCACGACTGAACAGGTCCAGAGGACCCAGCCCCCTCCACGCCACCCATCATCCCGAGCCCTTCACACAGTGACTGAGCTCGAGAGACCCCGTCAGCTCCACCCCTCAGCCCTACTCCCGTCTCATTTTACAAATCAGCCATCGAGACACAGAGATGCCTAGTCACTTGCCTAAGGTCACACAGTGAGGAACAGCACTGGGGTAAGCAGTGAGCGAGGAGACCGGTCCCTGCCCTGGAGCAGTCACGCTCAGCTGGGACACAGAACGTATAAGGACGCAGGGTGGCTGCCCCGGTGGCCAGGCTGGAAACCAGCAGCATGCCCGCGGCTGGGCAGTGAGCAGGCGGCCAGCGCAGGCGGGCTCGGAAGGCCAAGACGGAGCGTGTGCTGCACTCCGCCTCTCATGCAGTCCGCTCTGCGTGGCATCGGGGGCCTCGAGCCTGCCCCGGGAGCTATTTGTGGGGCTGGGAGATCACAGATCCAGGATCCTGCCAAACACACGCACTTCATCTGGAGCAGCCGTGTGTGTGTGTGTGTGTGTGAGAGAGAGTGTGTGTGTGTGAATGTGTGAGAGAGCCTGTATGTATGAGAGTGTGTGAGTGCAAGAGCCCATTTGTGTGTGTATGTGTGTAAGAGTGAGTGTAAGAGTGTATGAGAAAGGGAGTGTATGAGTATGTGTGAGTGACTGAGTGTGTATGCGTGTCAGAGAGTCTCGTGTGAGTGTGTGTACGCGTGTGTGTAAGAGTGTGTGTGAGTGTGAGTGTGTGAGAGAGCGTGAGCGTGTGTGAGAGTATGTGAGTGTGTGTGTGTTCTAGAAAGTATGAGTGTGGGTATAAGTGTGTCAGAGAGCATGTGTGAGTGTGTGAGTGCGGGTGTAAGCATGTGCGAGTGTGCGCCAGAGTGTGTTAGAGTGTGTGCGTGTCTAGAGTGTGGGTATAAGCGTGTGCGAGTGTGAGAGAGTGTGTGTGTGCTGTGCCTAGTGTCCCGTTGGCTCAAGCATCTCTAAGTGCCCCTCCAGCATGGGTGTTTCACCGCCGGGCACACTCAGTGTGGACACTAGCACACAGTGACTTGTCCCAGGGGTGCCAAGGAGGCAGACTCGGGGAAGGGTACTTCGGCAGCAAGAACCCTCAGGGAGACGTGGTGTCCCCACTGTACACTCAGAGGGGACCCAGGGAAGTGAAGCGGATCGGCGGGACGTGGCGAAGGAGACTCGCTGGGACTCGGGCACCTGGGGCCACACGGCTGCTGAGGACATGCCCAGGCTGCCTAGCAGGCCTAAGCCAGCGTGGATCTTGAATTCTCTTCTTTACCTGTCCGACCCAAGGTGATGTGTCCCCGGGAGGGCGTCTCAGAGTTCCAGAGGGGGAGGAAGAAACCCAGCCGTGGGGACACCCCTGCCCCCAAGCAGCGGATGGCACCCTTCAGGCATTGCTTGGGCGCGTTCGGAGTGTTCCTCACAAGGCGAGGAAAATACACTCTGGAGTTCCTTGGAAATGAGGCGAGTACTGATGGTAGCGATAGAAGAGGGGAGCACGCTTACTGACTGGGGATCCCCCACTGGGGTCTCTGCTGCCTGCAGGCCTAGTAAGTCACTCTGGCCCCTGCTTCCTCCATAGCCCTGGGAGAGCAGAATCTTGCGGCGGCGGCAGCCCCTCTCCTGAGCTCCGCAGGCCCACCCTTGCCCTGCTCGGCTTTGCCCGGCTGAAGCCGTCCTGGCTATTCTTCTGGCCCGCCCTGAACTAGGGTCTCCCATGGCACTGCGTGGCCACTGCATCTCAGTCTTGCAAGCCACACGGTTCTCTGTCCACGCCCTCCTTCCCGGGACCAGGAGCTCCTGGGACGGAGGCTCTCGCTCCCTGGACTGGAATGGATGATCTAGCGAAGGGGGACCGAGTGGGCTGGGCCTGGGGCCCTTGGGCTTGAGTGCTGGAAGCCAGTGCCGCCCACAGCCAGCTCGCCAGCTCCCGCCCTGCAGAAGCGTGTGCAGAGCACGCTTGTTTGCGCTGGCTCGGTGTCTGTTTGCATTTAGGATCACGGAGTTGACTCAATTAAGAAATAGAGTAGCGAGGAGGCATGGCCTCTGTTGGCAGACAAAACAGAGCAGACGGAAGGCGGCCAGGGAGGCCTCGTCCTGCCTCAGATCCGACAGGAATACCAGCTTCTCCCACGCCAGCTGGTCCGTCTCGTGATCCCATCCTTCTGTGCCCGGCTGAGCCAGTCTGGCCCCTCGTGGTCCCGAATGTCGAGTGGCAGTGAGGTTCCAGGCCGTGTCTCTGACGCTGCCAGGTCAGCCCGGTGGTCTGTGTGGCATGCCGAGAGCTCACCGGATCGAGCAGCACGTCAATTCACGGAGTCCTCACCACGAGTCTGGGCCATGGGAGCGTTCGTGTCCACAGTACGGGCGAGTGCAGGTATACAGAGAGGTCGAGCAACTCGCTAAGGTCAGACGGCCAGAGCTGGCAGAGCGGGATCTGAGCAGCCCGGCCCCGGACCCTACACCAACACCAACTAGGCCACGCGCTGCCGCCAGGGTCGTCCTGCCATGTACACCCCACGACGTCCAGAACTGCACGAGCCGAGGGGTCGGGCCTAATGAGACCTGGCTTTTTAAAGCCGCTGAGATGATTGATCCCTTAGACAGTGGACTAGGGCCGCACCCGGACAACTTTGTTTTGAACCAGGGGTCCCCTCCCTCCTCCCTCCTCCCTCTGGCAGAGACCATAGTGAGTTGCAGCCCCCCGGAAAGAGAGCGAGTGGGGTAAGGCCGGCTTGGGGCTGCGGGGGGCCTGGGTTGGGGTGTGAGGGGTGGAGTGGCAAGACCAATTATTTCCCCCAAGACCATGGGACAGAGAGCCCAGGCAGCTGGGCAGTGCGTCCAGGGTACCCCCTGCCCTGTAATGACCCAGCCTCCCCCAAAACGCATGGCCAGGAGCCTATGGATGGGCTAGGACCCTCCCCCACTGTCCTCCTCCAGGCTGGGCTTCTCACTGCCTGAAGTGCTGGCCCAGTACTGGCATAGAGTGGGCAGCTGCTACAGGCCAGGGAGGCTCAGCCCTGCTGGGATGAGAGCTCTGCATTTTCTTCTGGGAGTGATGCCCTCCACATGGGTGAGGCCCTGCTGGGACCCACACAGGCAAAGTCCTCTGGGCCAATGGGTCTGAGCAGGCCCACCTACGCTCTGGCTCCAGGTCCCCACCCTCAAGGAGACCAGGAGGGAAGAAAATGTGACTGGCTCACCCTGGACGCAGAGCCCCGAGGCCTTCGGGGCAGGGTGCCAGGGCCTGGGTCTGAGAGGGTCCTTCTCCACTTCTGCTCAGTCAGTGCACCCTCAGCAGTCCCCAGTAGACTCCTGCTTGTGTCCCTCGGGGCCAGCTGTGGCGTGTGTCCCTCGGGGCCAGCTGTGGCTTGCTGTGCGAGGCCCCTTGCTCTGCCAAGGCTCCGCAGAGACACTCCGGCCTGGCTGGCTCTGAATCTGCCCTGGAGTCCCCAGGCCTCACCAGGAAAGTCTGGGCAAGTCTCTGGAGCTCCCTGGGCCTCAGTGGGTGTCCTCCATAAATGAGGACCGGGGGGGCCCAGTGGGTGTCATGGTGGTTAGTGCATTGGACTCCCACATTGTCTACCACAGTCCAAGTCCTGGATCTGGCAGCTTGAAACTCACCCCAGGTGTGTGTGCATGTGTGCCCAAAATCCCAAGAGGAAAATGGAAGAGAAGGGATTGTGACATGGCCATGCCCTGGGTGGTAGTGGTGTGGGGGGGGTGACTTCTCATTGTCTCTCTGTCTCTCTCTTTGTTGAGTCCACATGACCTACAGAAATAAAAAAAGTCTCAAAAAAAAAAAAAAAAAGAAGGAAAGAAAATGAGGATCGCGACAGTTCTATGTGGCTGGAATGTGGCCACTGAGGTGACAGGTACGAGGTGCCCAGGAAGAAAGTTGGCATCGGGCCCCTAGGAGAGAACAGTGCCAGCCGGGCTGGCAGCCACACTCTGGGACAGCCTCTCCTCAGTTCAGAAAGGGACCCAGCCCTGGCCCAGCAGAGACGGGTCGATGAGCGCCCCATGGCTCAGCCGCAGCCTCGGGCACTGCAGTGACAGAGGGCACCAGCAGTGACACTGGAGACTTCCCTCCATTTCTCACAGTGCCTGCACGTCTGTGGTGACACAAACCTGTCCCGACGGCACACCAGCGTTGGGGGCTCCGGCCGCGTGCTTTTTCTTAAGTTTAAGTTCCGTGGCTCACGTGTGGCAGGGAGCAATGCTGAAGGGCCAAGTGTTACATGGTATGATCTTTCTTTTTAAAAAATCACTTGTTTAATTTTGTTTATTTATTATTATTGACATTTGGTTTGCTATAAGGATGTGCGCTCACCAGAGAGAGATGGAGAGAGGGCCAGTGGGAAAGCAAGCCGCCAGGTCCGGGTCCGGGGCAGACCACGGCCAGCCCGGTGTGAGCCCTAGTGTCCCCACAGGTAGCACGCTCAGCCTTCATGTGGTTCGACATTCCGTGTCCTGTTTCCACGGCTGCCCCCGTCCCAGCGAGTGCTATTGGTTTTCCATTTGGAAGAGAGTTAGGAGGTTTACTTCTCAATACATTCATTGTAAAGGAAAAGGGTCAAGTTTATTTAAAGAAAAAGAAGCTGCCCAGCTGGGGCGGCTCAGGCAGTCGCACTCGGTCCTGCAGTGCTGGAAGCGGGCAGCCAGCGCCGGTGTGGAGCGGAGTCAACCTGGAACACGCCAGCCCGAGGCCTTGACGAGCTGGAGGGCCGGGAAATGGATCGCAGCAAGAGGAGACCTGCTGGGGTGCCCGTCTCTCGCTCTCTTTCTCCGTCTCCCTCTCCTTTCCCGGACACACCAGCAGGCAGGTTCATGCCCAGTTAGCTGGTATGAAATGGCAGACTGAGGAGTGGGGAGGGGGGGGTGCAGAGGCCAATCAGAGCACAGAGCAGGACACAGCCCTCCTGGGAGCCCCTATTGACTGTCCTCCCTTCCACAGCCACGCCGGCCCCTTCTCCCGGGTCCCAACTTCCCTCCCGGCATCGCGTGCCCCGCCTCAAACCTACCTTTGGAGCCTTCCCAGAGCGGCTGTGAAGGACAAGGACCAGCAGATGCTGTTGGATGTTTCTGTCTCAGAGAGCCGGAACCGGTCCACGTGGGGACACCAGGCCTCCCATTAGCCTTGCCGTGCAGACGGAGCGGCTCCCTCGGCCGACACCACCACTCCAGGTAACATCCTGCACTTCGCTCTCATGACAAACGGGCCCAGCGAAGTGTCCTCTTGGGCCGAATGACAGTCTCAGCCATGAGTCCCTTCCCCTCCCAGTCTTTGCCGTAGGTGTGTCTCCTTGACCAATCGTCCTCCCCCAGACCGGAACACAGAGGCGCTCCAACCTCCGGCTGCCCACGAAGGTGCTAATCCCCTTGATCTGGGTCACAAATCTGTCATCTACTGGACCGCTGCTCAAGGAGGACATTCAGTGTGAGCTAAATTTTAAAACCACTTTCCCTCTGGTGCCCAGTGAACACCTGTGGGGTTGGGAGAGCCTCTTCAAAGCCCGGCAGGAGTGGTTTGTCTCCTCTTCTGTCGCTCGGTTATGCCTCCGAAGTCCTCCCCCAGAGCAGATACAACTCACATGTGTGGTATGCTGTGACCCAGAGGGACTAGCCTGGGCCACTTTGTCCACTGTAGTCCCTTGTCCTAAATCAGCAAGTTCTAACCTCGAAATTAACCAGATTGTCACTGCAGGAAGAGAAAGCTCAAGAGGCGGCAGTTCTCAGGATTAAGCACAAGTGTGTCCCTTCACTTGAACTGAAGAAATAGTTTTCCCAGAGCAGAAGTCTGCTCCCCCCCCACACACACACACATGGGCAGAGCCGGCGGCCCCCGAGTCGTTCTCGGGAGAAACGAGGTCAGATGCGCCCACGTTGCCCGGGCTCTGCTGCGGTGGCAAGGCGGTTTCCTGCAGAGTCTTCGTGCAGGTGCTCATGTCCCCCAGACCGGAACACAGAGGCGCTCCAACCTCCGGCTGCCCACGAAGGTGCTAATCCCCTTGATCTGGGTCACAAATCTGTCATCTACTGGACCGCTGCTCAAGGAGGACATTCAGTGTGAGCTAAATTTTAAAACCACTTTCCCTCTGGTGCCCAGTGAACACCTGTGGGGTTGGGAGAGCCTCTTCAAAGCCCGGCAGGAGTGGTTTGTCTCCTCTTCTGTCGCTCGGTTATGCCTCCGAAGTCCTCCCCCAGAGCAGATACAACTCACATGTGTGGTATGCTGTGACCCAGAGGGACTAGCCTGGGCCACTTTGTCCACTGTAGTCCCTTGTCCTAAATCAGCAAGTTCTAACCTCGAAATTAACCAGATTGTCACTGCAGGAAGAGAAAGCTCAAGAGGCGGCAGTTCTCAGGATTAAGCACAAGTGTGTCCCTTCACTTGAACTGAAGAAATAGTTTTCCCAGAGCAGAAGTCTGCTCCCCCCCCCCACACACACACACATGGGCAGAGCCGGCGGCCCCAGAGTCGTTCTTGGGGGAAACGAGGTCAGATGCGCCCGCATTGCCCGGGCTCTGCTGCGGTGGCAAGGCGGTTTCCTGCAGAGTCTTCGTGCAGGTGCTCATGGCCACGCCACGGTCCGTCTGTTTCCCGGGGCCCACTCTAACCGCACCGCCGAATCTGGTCGCTCATCAGCAGTCGGGGAGACGTCTGAGTCTTCGGGCCTTGCAGGAGTCCAACACCGCCATGTTGCTCCTGAAGTCTCGGTCCTGTTCCTTCCAAACTTTCGTTTTCTTTCGTCAGTCCCTCCCAGGTGCACCAGGACCTCTGGCTCTTGAGAGCTCCCTTCCTGGTACAGCTGCGCCTCCCCGGAGGAGAGGACCAGGGAGCCTGCCCACCTCCGGCAAGGCCTGCCCCCGCCTGGTGTAAACCCCTGCTCCCGTCTTCAGCGTCAGGCAGGGAGGCTCCTCAAAGCCTGGAAACTGCCAGACCCCACTCCAGAACCCCTGACTCGTGGGTCCCACAGGCCTGAGAATCTCCGTTTCAGTTTCCCTGGTGACACTGAGGCCGCTGGTCCAGAGAGCAAACAGCCGGCAAGGTGGAAAGTTCGAGCTCAGCCATCTTTAGACTTTTGAATGTTCAGGAATCACCAGGGGGTCCCTCCACCAGGTTCACCCGTTTTTGATTTTGCTTATTTACATTTAGTCCCTGCACATCTGCAAGGTGTACAGGATGTCTTCTCAACCTGGGTACAGTGTGTATTAGTCAGTCAGCGACATTGCCGGCTACGTTTTCATCCACAGCAGCTTCCATGTTTGCGCCTTTTAGATGTTTTGCTTATTTTTTCCCTGGCCCCCTCCCTCTCACCCCCTTCCAAACCGTCTCTAGTATCTAAGGTTGCCGTCCACCAGGGAGCTTAATGGTGACGATCCTAGAGCGTATCAATCGAGAGAAGTAGATTGCGAGCCACGTTCCGGAAAGTGAAAGGAGACAGTGGAATTCATGCTCAAGGTCTAAACTTTGACTGTTTCAGCATGCGGTCGGTGTAGGGGTCATACATCCCTCCCTCCGAGCCTCGCGGGCAGTTTCCTGCCTGGCCGGTGCTCGTGTCTCCGTGGCTAAGGCTGCCCGGACAGCGCGGTCCTCAGGTCTTCCCTGGGGACACCTCGGAAGCTGCCCTTCAGGGAGCACTCCCTGTCTCCCTCTTACCCCTGGACCGCTTCCCCCCAGCACCACAGACTTTCTCTAACCTGGCGCTTCTCTGCCCTGGCCGCATACCAGGCGTTCCCTGAGGGGCTGTGAACACTCAGCGCTCAGTATTCTGACTTGGGTAGGCCAGAAGGCAGTCGAGGTGACGCGGCTGCTTTCTGTGTCCAGGTTATTCCAACACCCAGCTCGAGTCATTTCCTGGGGCTCCCTGCGATTCTTATACCTGGAGAGCAAGCTACTCAGGACTGGCTTGGACCCGCCACACGCGCCCACACCCCACCCAGACCCACTGAGCTAGGGCCAGTGCTCCGTCAGCTCGCCCCCTCGTTCCTGAGCATATCGAAGTCTGAGAAGCACTGCCTCACCTGGAGCAATTAAGACATTATGAAATGCGTCTTTTTTCTCTGCCTGCAGAGGGCTGGCGCCATGCAGCACCTCACTGAAGCAGATAGAGGCTTGCAGCTCGGACTCCCACCCCACTGCCATGCTTGCTGATCTGGCTGCAAGACGCTCTCCCCTGTACCCAGACATGCTGTGGAAACGCCGTGGAGCTCTGCAGCTGTTCCAGCCCAGCTCACCGCTTGGTCAGCATAGCCGGCTGCTGGCCACGGGGGCGCAGCTGCAGGGGAGGAGGCTCTGGAGGCAAGTGCAGAGGGAGCCCTGGCAGAGGTGTGCCCTACCCCCACCCCGAAGGGGGAGCAAAACCTGGCCCGCCTCCCCCTCTCACCCAGTCCTGCACCCGGAGCCCCGCAGCCTGTGAGCGCCCTGCAGACCCAGCCGTCCCGTTAGCCTCCTCTCCCCAGGCGCTGAGTGCCTGGAGGCTGAGCGAATGAGGACGCGTGCATTCTCCCAGTCCTCACCTTCGCTTGGCCTGCCTTGGCCGTCCAGACCCTCTCTCCGTCACGCCTCCTGCTGTTGGTGAGCTTGCAAAGACCGTCGGCCTGAGTGGCCGCTGTCCTCGACACAGTCAACGAGACGTGTGCCTACAGCTGGTAGGTGGCAGGTGTGTCCTGCAGAGGCAGAGAACAAGGCTCTCACGTCTCAGCCGGCATTCAGATCCCCTGGAAAGTGTCTTTAAAATTGCAGCTTCCAGGTCCAGCTTTGCTGGCATGCTCTGCTTGGACACTCTGCTCTGCAGTCTGGAGCCACATGGGAGCCGTGTTCAAGCCCCTGTCCCACCTAAGGGCAGATGTAGTGGTACACACCTGCTCTCCACTGGGAGGCCGAGGCAAGAGGGTGATGGCACGGTAAGACCCTTCTTTAGATCGTTCTAAATACAGACCGCCAGAGCCCCAGCCCAGACCTGGGGAGCTGGGACCTGGCTCCGCTCTCGACGTGCTCCCAGGGGCCCTGGGGCTGTAGCTTAGAGTCTATCCCTCGCTGCCATCTACCCTACAACCGGCCGCCATTAGCAGGAAATGGCCAGGGACTTCCGTTCATCCAAGTTTGACACACACTTAGGGAGTTTTCGCCTTGTGCGAGGTACACGTTAAACATGGAGACCGCAGGAGAGGGTGAGGTTCAGCGCCCACATGGCCAAGCTCACCCGCAGCCCAGAGGGACTCGCGGACCAGCCAGGGAGAGGTACCTTTCCCAAAGGCCATGTGAGAGGGTGGTACCAGGCGCGATGAGGGTAATGGGGGGTCCTGGTTCAGAGCCCAGAGCCCATCCCAGCTGGCTCCTAAAGGCTGAGCAGGAAGAAGCCGCCGAAACCTCAGTGCCGCTGGCACATGGAATTCCGAGCAAAACACGGGTAACTCAGGCTGGAGGGGCATGCTCCAAGGCTTTCCTCCCTCGCACCAGGAAGGAACTCCACTGTGAAAGCACCCACAGTGAACCCTGCAATGAGTGATAACTGCCCAGCTTCCATGATCCAGGGTGAGGTGCCCTGGGAGGCCTGGGGAGAGCCGCACTCCCTGGGACCTAAATGAACATCGCCCATCTGAAGACAGTTTGCAGGAAAGCAATCTTCACTGTTACTGAGTGTCTGCCCTGGTCCTGCCGACGCCCCTGCTTGACAGAGACCCCCTACCATCTGGAATTGTCAGGGGAAGATGGACGGTGCACACAGAGGTTGCTGCCGGCATTGGAAAACGGCTTGTCCCTGCCGCTCGGCAAGTTCTTTGAGCACAGTTGATAGAAGGTTTCTGACCTTGAATTATTAGTTAACGGCATCTCTGCAGAAGGAATGATTTATCAGGCGAGTAAACTTTGCAAACGAGCGCAGGTCTGGAATTGCTGCTCTTCCCTCGAAAGCTGAACATGCATTATTTGCACTATCTGTCTTCATGGGGAAGCGACATCCGAAGCAGAGGCTCATACTTAACCTTGCCCTCGGAGCTCTGTGCAGGCGAGGCGTGAAGACAGGCCGGGGCAGCGTGGAGTCCCCGAACGTGCTGTGCAGGAGGTAGGAGGGCTCCCTTGCCACAGGTGCCACCAGCTGGAGTGGCCTCCTCGTTGAGGACCCCATGGGGCGGTGCACAGCTCTCAATAGCCACGTCCCCTCTCACGGGTCACCTGCAAAGCCAGCCGGGGTCAACACCACCAGCTGCTGGCAGGCCCCTGCTCTGCCGCCTTCTCGGTTCACTTGCTTTTGAGCAAAAGGTGTTGCTCTAGGGGAAGGAGTGTGTCCGCCCTGTCACTTGCCACACAGGGGACTCATCCTCCCCTTCTCTCGGAGGGCCTGGTTCAGCCTGGAGCTCTGAGGACAAGGGCAGGGAAGCAGGAATTCAGGGCCTCCTCAACCCTCACCGGCCTGCTCCCTTGCGCCAGCTACCTCCGGCACCTGGGATGCTGCTCCTCCAGCTCACACTCACACGCACACTCACACCGTCCAGCATTGCAGTGGGGCCCCCACTCACAGAGGAGGCCGACCCCTGGGACATGCCTTCTGTCACACGCCTCTTCCATCGCGCTGACGCGTAATTCGTGAGAAATGGTACGTTCCCTTCCACGTCTCCTCTCAAGACACTCACTGGTTTTGTCCCGACTCGTGTCTGTAGTTGCCTGTTCTGAGGTTCTTGGAGTTGAGAACCACCAGAGAGGAGACCCCTTGAGGGGAAGAACACGCTAAGGGGGGGAACTTGTCAGTGTCAGTGCTGGGAGGAGGTGGGCGTGGGCGCGTGAGCCTCGGCCTCCGCT